TTAAAATTTTTTTTTTTTTTTTTCTTTCTTTCTCGCAGGAAGAAGAAGAAAGAATAAGAACAAGAGAAGAAGAAGAGGAAGAGCAGAACCAGAAGAAGAAGAAGAAGAAAAGAGAAGAGGAAGAAAAGAAGAAGAAGAAGAAGAAAAAGAGGAAAAGATAAATCAAAACCCAAAACAAAAACAAACCCAGATCCACAAATCCAGATCTACATTCATCAACAAATCTAGATCCACAAATGGTAATCAAAATCCAAATCTGAACATCAACATCATACATTCATCAACAGCAAAAAAAAAAAATAAAATTAAATTAAAATTGTCGAATCCAGATCCACAAATCCAAATCTACAAATCTGTTCATCAACAAATCATCAATCCAGATCCACTAGAAAAGAAAGAAAGAAAAAAAAAAAAGTAGAGAGAGTAGAGGCGGTCTGCTTCCATGTCTTCCTCCTCCTCCTTCATCACTGTCTTCTCCCTTCCTCTTCTTCTTCTCTCTTTTCTCTCTGTCTCTGCGTTCGAATGCAAGAAAAAGCAAAAAATAAAAAATAAAAAAAAATAAACCCAAAACGACGTCGTTTTGGATTTCGAGCCAATTTGAGCCAACAGTATTTCGGGCCCTTAAACATTTTTGTAAATGTTTATCCATCGCTAATGAGAAATCCTGAACAATATGTTAATTTTTGGGCCTTAACTCTTGCCGATTGACCTTTATTGAGTACTCACAAGTATGATGATGAGAGTTGAGCTGAAAAATATTTTGTTGTTTTTTGTGCTATGCTCAAGGAAATGGTTATATGTAAGAGTGTGTTATAGCTGCAATTTTTCAAAAGATAAAATTTATAATTTTTGGATTCAGCTACCGCTCTTAGCAGTGTGAAAGCCTTTTTCAAATTGTTGTCGAGATGAAAATAAATAAATTTGAACAAGAAAGGAGGTTATGGAAGATTGAATAAATGCTCTATCTCAAATCATCTTTTGTAAACTCGAGGTTTAACTTCCAAAAGAGTGGCACAATTGTTTGTGCAAAAATGTTCAAATTTGATCTCTACTTGACATTATTAAACATGGTATTCTCTCATTTCACACAACACACTGCCTTAGTATGAGATTTGTGGGCATCTTTTATCCAATAGTTTTGAAGTGAGTGTCTCTTTACACTTGCTGAACATTTTTAGTTTTGATAAAACTATGTTTTTCAATTGAGTACAAATGTTTTGATCAAAAATCTGTTATTATGTGTTTTTGTTTTGCGTTTTTCCCTTATCAATTTTGGACAAAAAGGGGAGAAAACTTGGCCTTATGTTTAGGGGGAGTATTTTGTTTAGGGGGAGAGTGTGTGTGGCGTTTGTATAGGGGAGTATTTTGTGTTTTGTCATGGAATTACCAAAGGAGGAGATTGTTAGGATTTTCAATCTTAATTCTGTGCATTGTAATGCAAGTTGGCAATCCCGTTCCAAAGACAAAATCATGATTTTCTGTTTATTCATTTTTGTCTCATTTGTTTGAATCAATGTTCAAATCAAAAGATCTTGTGCAGGAATGGTTTATGAAGTTTTGTCCCAAACATTGCCAAAACACAAATTATTAAATTCTTTAGGATGAAAATCCTAACACAAGTTCTCTAGGTATTTTGCTTGAGGGGGAGAGTTTGTGTTGCATGAGTATTTTGCTTATGCAGTTAAGAGCATTACAAAAAAATGTCACTACAAAGTTCACTGTCAAAAACAAATTTTCTCTTACAAAAATAAATCTCTCAAAAAGCTCTCTACAAAAAATGTATCTCACAATATAGGAAATATTTAGAAGAGTTTCGGCAAGAGCACTTAGAAAATTATCTAAGAGAGATACCAAACATTTCAACTGAGCTTGCTTTAAATAGGCCTGGGCCAACAGTACCTCGCGACCGTGGTCCTTGAGGTAGCGAGCGCACCACATCCTTTGCGGGGTGCAGACAAAACTTCTAAGAACTGAATTTTCGAAGTACCACGGTCACGGGCATGTTAGAATATAATATGTAAAGTGTTTAATAATTATGTTTTCTTCTTTCGGTGTATGTTAATTAATATCCTATGTGTATCACATTTCCTCTCTATAAATGAGAGTGTTGTAAATCATATCAATAATAATATTCATCAATACAATTTATTCTCTCCTTCTCTCTCTATCAATTTATCTTACAACAATGCGTATTATCACAAGCACAAATAAGCATGCATGTATAGCCATTTGTAGAAGACTTTTTCTTTCACAATTTTCACAATTTCGGCCATCTCCATGTGATGCCGCGTTATTCCACAGACAATAAGGCCACTTTTAGGCTAGAAAGAAAAGAGATGTTTAACGAAAAGTCTCGCGTTCTACTTTTCAATCAATAAATATCAAGTGTAAACACCACATGAATTTGCTTTGAAGCAAACAATAAATAAATTCTCCTATAAATGAGTACATCTCCCAATGTAATCATCATTTAATTGGAGCCACCTATAACTTTGATTTTGTCGGATCTGTTATTCGATCCCGTTCAACACTATGGAATTTGTCCTCTTCACTCCCTCATTTTGAGTACTCCTAAATAAAATTTAATGCTTCAAATTCTTTAGTAATTAATTACATAACCACCTCTAGTAGGTCCTACTCCCTTTCTTTTAAAGTTGTATACTCCTATTAACTACATTTCTATTGTTGAATTAAATCATATCCCAGTATAATCAATTCTATCCGTATCCCAACAAAATTTTTCTTTTCTTTTCATGCATTGATTTAGATTAGATCATGGTTCAAGGCAATTTTTTTAGAAAATTTTTGATTCGCTTAAAAAATCTCTCTTAATTTGACTTACAAATTGACCATATGACGAGTTAATTTTTTATTTGCTACAAATTTTATCATATAAGACTCAACTCCCTCCCTATGCTATTATGCATAAATTATGAAATTTTTCATTTTTAATTTTTAATATTTCTCAAAAAGTTTACAATGATCTCGAGCAATTCAAACCAAATATGGGATAAACTCTGGCAAAGGCTCAAAGTTGAGGAAGTTAGTTTGGACTAAAAGTCAAGCACAAGTAATGCTTACCAAAACCCTCAAAGATTTGAACTGAGACTCTCAATCCAACTGAACTCATCCAAGTTACAACCTACCTTAAATAATATAACCTCAAGGTATATTATAAACAGATTAGGTCATTTCTTAAAAATAATAGGATTACCTTTCTCAAACCATATTGAAATATCTACATGATTCTAACTTCAATTGTCATTCCTATCTTAAAAAAAATAAAAAATAAAAAAACACCTTCAATTGACATCATATCGATAATAATAATAATAATTTTAAAAAAGCATTATCTTGTTCTGACATCAAAGGCTGGCCACCAACCAGCCTCTTAAAACCTGGATTGACGAAGAGGGTACCACTTCTTAGATAAGTCTGTAACTCAAACAAAATTCAATAAACAATTAAAACAAAAACACATGTTGCCAAAAAAATAAACTGGAAAGTCTTGCCAACAGCATAAGCTTGCTTAACAAACTACCTACACACACACTCACACCCACATGAACTCCAATGAAAATGCTAATTTTTACTCCGAAATTTAGAAGCTCAGTCTACATATCAAAATTAGGCACCATCTTTAGCTTAATTAAGATTTTAAAAAAATTGCAGTATTCAACAATAAAATTTTAAAAATATTTTCTTATTGGGTCTTAGTCAACGGACTAACTATCCTAATATAATTGAGCCATATTTGTGAAAATAAAGTGTGCCGTGTAAATTTAAAATTGGTAGAATGTGAGCACCACACTCACTATGATTGTTGTCCATACACTTTTCTGGGCAATTTTTCCAAGTATGCAGAATTATTGAAACTCTAAAACTAGGATTATAAAAACAAAAAACCAGAATTAACTGTTCCTACAAGAACCTGATTTAAAAATGAGGTGGGAATTGATTGATCTGATCAGCTCCTTCCTCTGTGGTTGAATTTCAGCTCATTGGCAAGTCTCTGGTGGGTGACCTGCAAAAACATTTCTTGATCATTATAATATCCAACTTTTTTTATATTTCTTACAAGTCACCGCACATAGTAACAACTGGTTATTATTTATACAAAGATAGTGAAACACCAGTAGCAGCTATTACCTTGTCCAGCTCAATGCTGGCCATAGAACACTAATTACACCGACAGTCCTTAAACTATCCTTTTGTTACACTTTGGCCCTTAATTTTAATTTTATCAGTTGATCATTAAACTACGAAATGTGAGTTTAAATGATCACAAACAATCACCTGTCCAAATTGATTAACGAGAGCTGGAGTAATTTTGAAAGTGTCAATGAAATCTCAATGAAATCAAAACAACCAAATACACATGATTTATAAAGTACACATTTTGTTGCATTTTTGTCTCCAAAATATGCGCTTTTAGTCCTCAATCTTTTAATTTTGTTGTATAGTTGTATATGTTTTGTATTCCCAGGTTAGGTGACATCAATTCCAAATGACAGTTGGATTTAGAACTGTCACTAAGTATTATTTTGGATAATTAGGGTACTTGGGTTTTGCCCTAAATAGTCCCAAAGATCAAACACTTCACCAGATTTAAACTTGTGACGTACGTTTCTTGAGACGCCTATTACGCCTCTTGTTGTTAAACTAGCATTAAATTGGTAATAACAATGGACAAAGATGCAAATTATTGAAATATATGATCAAACATTATATAATAATATAGAAATATCAACATGTCACAGCAATAACAAATTACAATAAACAAATACAGAAATGTCACTACCATAGTTATTGTGATATAATACTCCTAAAGACATCACATTAATACATATTTCGTCCATTACAATGGTACTCAGACTCAGATAGGACATTAGTAAATCCTCGACCCCAACTCTGACCATATACATATTGTAACATTTAAATTATAAAAATGTCAAATTACTAAAGTCTCCCTTGCCTATCTTAATTAAATGTCATTTCAAAAAGACAAAAGTCAGGAAAGAGTTAAACCAAACCAACCAACACTAACAACCTTCTTTGAAACTGTCAGCAATCCAAAGCCCAAAACACCCAAACATATTATATTTGCATTGTTCCGAAAACAGAAAGGCAAGAACAACAAATTTTCTTTCACTTTCTTTCATTTTCTTGGCAGGAAAGAACATTGATTTTCTCTCTCTCTCGGGCACAAATGCCGCAAGATCAGAGAATTGTTAAAGCCGTTGTGGCCACAGCTGCAAGTACTCTACTTATTGCTGGGATCATATTCTTGATAATCTACAAACTAGCCATGGCTCGACATCGGCAAAGAAATAAATTAAATTCAAGTTTTCGTCGAGAAGAGATGGTGGCAAGTCATCAGGAGTACAGGCAACAAAGGGGAACCCTGAAAGGATTGATTGTTGATGAGAACGGGCTGGATGTGCTTTATTTGAGAAAAGTTGAACGAGGACAACTTACGAGTTGTTTCTCTAGAGTTTGGATTAATCCAATGGAAGAAGAGGAAGAAGAAGAAGAAGAGAAGAGGATTGATGCTAGAAGCGATAAATCCAAGAACTCCGAAGGAATTCAGGAAATTCCGTTGCTTCGTGAGCCGTGGAATACAGCTGCTCTTGCCGAAGTGCCAAAACCAGTACTACTGCCACGGTGGCCTCTTCTGCCACAACCTCCTCAGCCTCCTCCTCCACCTCCAACGGGGCCAAGGAAGCACAGCCCACCACCACCACCTCCACCTCCACCTCCACCACCACCACCGCCGCCGCCGCCTCCTCTTAAAAAAGTTCCCACACCACCTCCCATGCCACCGATTTCAGCAAAGAGAAACCCTGCTCCACCACCTAGGGCAGGTGGCTTGGTTTCATCATTGAAACCCCCTCCTGTACCAAGGGGGAAGACAAGCAGCAATAGCAGGGGGGAGGCATCTTCCATTGGAGAAAGCACAAAAGGGACAGGTGATTTCCAGATGAAACTGAAGCCGCTGCACTGGGATAAGGTTGCAGCCAACGCTGATCATTCAATGGTTTGGGATGAGATCAATGATGGATCATTCCGGTAAATTACCCCTGAAATCTCATACATATTACATTCCATTTGTTTTGGTGAAATTACATTCCATTTGTTTTGGTAAATTACATTCCATTTGTTGTGGTGGTGATGGTGGTGGTGGTAGAAGTGAGTGGCAGTGGCGGTGGCGGTGGCGGTATTGGTGGTACGGTGGTGGTTGTGTGGTGGTTTTCATAAGAGCTTAATTTGGAAAATGTTTTCTACTTTTTAAAAGCCAAAAACAATTTCCGGGCAAAAAAAACTTGTTTTTCATGGTATGTAGAAAACATTTGTCATTGACTTTCAGTTTTTGTTATATCAAACGCCAAAAAATGCAAAAACATTTTCTAATTTTTCACTGAAACAAACCGTACGTTATATTTTTATCTACCTACCTTTGATGTCCCCTTGATAATTGACATTTGCATTTTTTGTCTCTGATTTTGCTTTTTTATCAGATTTGATGATGATATGATGGAAGCTCTATTTGGATACACTACTACCAATCAAAAACCCACTGAAAGCAATAAAATCCCAAGCTCAACCACTTCCAACCCCGGTCTGCCAACAAAAAATTTCATCCTCGAGCCTCGGAAATCCCAGAATACAGCTATAGTAGTCAGATCTCTTGCAGTATCTCGCAAAGAAATTCTTGATGCCCTCCTTGACGGCCGAGGCCTTGACTCTGATATCCTCGAAAAACTCACGAAAATTTCCCCAACCCAAGAAGAACAATCCAAAATCCTTCAATTCAATGGCAACCCAACAAAACTCCCCGATGCTGAATCTTTCCTCTATTACATACTGAAAGCTATTCCCTCGGCATTTATCCGTTTCGATGCAATGCTTTTCAGGTCAAACTACGACTCTGAAATCCTGCATCTCAAGGAGTCCCTGCAAACCCTCGAATTAGGTTGCAAGGAATTACGGATTCGTGGAATCTTCTTTAAACTTCTTGAAGCAATTCTCAAAGCTGGTAACCGTATGAATGCTGGAACTGCCAGAGGGAATGCACAAGGCTTCAACCTCAACGCTCTTCGAAAACTGTCCTACGTGAAAAGCACTGATGGTAAGACTACTCTACTTCAATTTGTCGTGGAACAAGTAGCTCGGTCTGAGGGTAAACGTTGTACAATCAACCGAAACCATAGCCTTGGAAGAAGGGGTAATCAAGGTAACAATGATACTGACCTAAATTCTGATAGCATCATAGCCAAGGAAGATAGATACAGAGAGTACTTAATGTTAGGGTTACCCGTGTTAGGAGGCTTAAGTGTTGAATTCTCTAATGTAAAGAAAGCAGCCACCGTAGACTATGATAGTTTCGTTAATATGTCTTCGAAACTCACGGCTCGAGTTGCCGAGATTCGGCAACTTGTGATGAGCTGTGGGAATGGCGAAAGAGGTGGATATGTGAGGGAAATGAAAGGCTTTTTAGAGGAATGCGAGGAAGAGCTTAAAGTGGTTAGGGAGGAACAAACAAGGGTAATGGAGCTAGTGAAGAGAACGACGACATATTACCAAGCAGGAGCTTCCAAGGACAAAGGGGCGCACCCACTGCAATTGTTTGTTATTGTGAAGGATTTTCTTGATATGGTCGATCAAGTTTGTATTGACATCACAAGGAAGGCACAGAAGAGGAATGTGGCAAGTGTAGGATCATCACCGCCACCATCATCGCCCACAGGAACTCCAGTGAGATTCCAAAATTTCCGGTCATATTTTATGTCAGATAAGCCTGAGACAACATCTTCTAGCGAATCAGAGGATGATTTCTGAAGATAGCATGTCAGCAGAATCCAGTAGAAAATTGATTAATGCATAACTCGGTGTGTGTATGTGTGTGTGTGTGTGTGTGCGTGTGTGGTATTATTAAGGTGAAAGAGTACGTTATACTGAAACAGAAAGAGGTTGATGATGCCCGAATTTTTTTCTTCAACTTTTCTTACTAGAAAAAGAAAAAAAGAAAGAAAGAAGTCAATCATTAGAAGTATGAATGAAAACCTATGTTACAAGAATTTTTCTAAATTTGTTAAGTATGTGAACACTGGACACTTGGACAATAGTATCGGATATCTAAGTATCCGTTAAGGTCATTGCTCTTCGTTAACAAACTGTATTTTCTATACCCTAACATCAGAAAGAAAGAAGTTCCTAATTGGGGACTGAGCCTACTGATACCATTAGAGCCCTTACTTGAAATTATGAGCACAAATTAGATTCACTAGTAAATTGGAGGATCCATCAATATAAGAAGAGGTTGAAACAATCCAAAGAATACAACCCATAATTTGTAAGGGTCAGTTTGGATGAATGTGGACTTGAAATGCATGGATTTGACATTTATTTTTTTTTTGGGTGAATTGTAATTTTTTTTGGGTGAATAATTTGACATTTATTATTCAAGGAGAATAACTCACATTTTAATTTGATAGTTTACCTATGAATTTCAAGATTGAATTAAATAACTTTATCATGATAGATTTGAAATAACTATATAAAAGTAGTTATTTGAAATCATTCTAAGGAATCTTTTCTAGCTACAAGAATCTTACTAAAATACATCTATTTTATCTCAATTTATCTTCTTCTATAATTTTTCTCTCCACCTCTAATAGCTGACTGTCAAATATTTTTAACCTCAAATCCCTTGACCTGAAAACCACATCCAAGTTTAAATGGAGTTTTGATTCTTGAACGAACCAAAATACAAGAAACTTGCATACATTGTCTCCCTTTGTCATTGTTATATTCTTTTAATTTTTGACTTGGTTGGATGCTCAACATGCATTGCCTAAGCAGCCAAGTTTAAATGGTGCAAAAATATAAGTTTTCATTCTTTATTAGGACTTTATCCGAAAGTGTTGAGGAACTTGACGGAGTGTTCTGATCTCTCTACTATACTCTTCCATAGTAAGCATTTCTCCTTTTACCTAAAAAATTTATGCGCTTAATTGCCTATAGTACAACGGCAGCAAGGTGTTTTGTGTAATGATGTTAATTAGATCCCTAAGAGGTAGCCTAGTTGGTCAGTTGGTCAAGGAATCATGTAGCCTCCTAAAATCTCCTCTCTTTTATTTTTGGATAAGTGATTGTAGATCTCCCAAACATTAAACCAAACTGATTTTCAGAACCACTGTCTCGTGTCTTAATTTTCACGCAATTACTCCCTTCTAAAGTTTCATTGTGTGACTCATACGTTCAAATTGAATCTTTCTGATTGCAATAACAAAATGTGACACAACCCCAAGTGGTTGGCCTGGTAGTCAAGGCCTGGGGGTGTGTTCCTCCAAGGTCTCAGGTTCGAAACTCCCTAGGGCCCCGTTTGTTTTGGGGTGCAATGGATGGGAGGAGATTAAGATGGAGGTGAGATTATTTAGTATTGTGTTTGTTTGTAGAGTTGGGGAAGAGATTAGGATAGAAGAGAGGATTAAGATGGTAGTTGGAAGGGGGATTGGGATGGAGAAGGTAGAGGTGGAGGTGGTATTAGAAAAATAGAGAGGGGATTACAAATTTTTTTATTTTTAACATATTGGGAATTTTTTTTTAAGCATTAATGTTTAATTTTTTATATTTTTTTATTTGTTTTATTATTTTATATAAAAATAATTTAACAATTCCTACATTAACAACTATCATCAAAACAAACACAATTTTACTTAATTCCTTCACTATCAATCCCCTCACTATTAATCCTTTCACTATGAATCATCTCCATTCTACATCTGAAAACAAACGGGGCCTAGGTGCAAACAATTTTATGGGGCCAATCCATACCAGCTTTAATTGGGCAGTGTATAGTAGGATTGGTCTCCAAATTAGTCAGTTCAATAAGTCAAATACCGAGTTATCAAGAAAATGACAAAATGTGACACGTATCTGATCATACAATTAGAATGAAATCACTTTGAACCCAAGCAAATTACAAACCTAGAGGATGAGATTGAGGACAGACTCGCACACAGACCGATCGATGTCATGCATAATTGGAAATATGTGTAGTACAAGAGATGACCAAACAGCGAGTACAATTCTCAAACAATCAAGTATTATTTGGTTCACTGAAATTAAGTTCGAATGGAATAATTATTCCATCATAACATCCATTCTCACGTTTAATTCACTAAAAATATTAGGATTGCAAATTTTTTCATTCATAAGAAGATCGAGGAATAACAAATGCATTTCATTCCTCCTAATAAACCAAACACTACCAAATTTATTTCTATCAATCAACAGGTAGAAGATATTAACTTAAATAGATAACATATAATCACAACGGTTGATATTGCAGATTAAACAAGTAATTTAATTAATTAAAAAAAAATCATAATTGCTCTGTGAGTGTAAGAGGGAGAGAGAGAGAGAGAGAGAGAGAGATGATTATACAAAATGTAGGTTCTCAGAAACCCTGGTAAATCATCGGTAAAATAGCATCACAACATTTGATCAATCTCTATTTGCTCCTAATCTTGCAAATTGCAATCCACCCTGAAAATGCAAGCGTTCGTGCCACAACATACAGATTAGAGAGAGAGAGAGAGAGAGAAAATTACGGAAGCTTACGACCGTTGATCTTTGCAGTTGGGAGAGGCTTCAAGTCCACGAGGATTAGTTTAATAATAGAAAATTTAGTGAAACATTCTCTAAATTTTGGATAGTAGGAAATGTCTAATATATTTTTTTATTAACTAAAGTTTATTGATGAAATTTCTCTATGATCGTATCTAAGAAATTTTAAAATTTTTTTGTAATCCTATCGTATAAATTTTCGGAATTTCTCTTTAAAAATAAAAGAATTTCACTGTAAAAAATTTTTTAAAAAAAAATTATGTTAGGGTGAAATTTCCCTGCATCAAATCGAAATTTCTTTGGGTTAAATTTTTTTTGTAAAAATGTTGAGAGATCCAATTATTATAAAAATACTATATATCTTTTATCTTATAAAATCTTAATATTATGAATTTTTTTAAAAAAATCCCTCTTAATAATTAGTCAATTTTAAGTCTGTGCGTATTATAGTATGGAGTACTTACAAAATTTTATTACATTTGTTTTTAAAAATAAATCATAGTAATATACTTTTAAATTCACGTGCAATTATTCTTCTTAAGACAAATATTGGTCATTATTTTTTAAAATATAATAAAATTATGTCATTGTAATTATTAGACTAATCTAATTTTCTTTTGTAAATAATTTTATTCACTCAATAAACAAGCTTAAATATTTTACACATAGAATAAATTTCACAGACCTCCTTTCATGATATTAAGAAAAAATATAACAAGTCCAATGGCTACAGTTTTAACATAATTACATTTATTTCTCTTGAAATTTTAATTTATATACACTTAGTTTCAGTTTCATCTATGATTTGTTAGCCAAATAGATAGCAAAAAAAAAATTGTCATCTTTTATATATATATATATATTTTTTTCCCTTGTTTGTTATTGTATTTTTGCACTATTTGTATTAATTTCGGTCCATTTAATCGTGATAAAAAAGAGGTTTGTGTAATTATATAAAAATTATAAAATTTGTTATATTTTTTTCATATGCTAAAGACGTCAGTACAATAATATAATATATATGTTAGAAAGGATAGTGTCAAGGTTACAACCTCTTGATTGTCTTCTAATTGGCTGGTTACTAGTATTGAGTAAGAAAATTGAAAAACTCACAAACTGAAAGGATTGTGTCAAGGTTACAGTTTCTTGATTGTCTTCTAATTGGCTGGTTACTAGGGTTTAGTACGAAAATTGATATATTCACAAATTGAATCGGTCTAGATCAATACAGTAGGTTTGGTTTGGTTCAGTTTTTTTTTTTTTTTTTTTTTTTGTACGAATTCGTGGTTCGATTCTGATTTGAAAAATAGGAAAATTGGTGCAAATCTATAACAATTCGAAAATTTAAGTTATCCCTTTAATTTTATATTAGTATTAATTAATTATAAATGAGAAAAATCATAAATGTTTAATTAAATATTTCATAAAAATAAAATAAAATAAAATGTAATTTATTTACATTAGGGGTCATTGTAAAATAAATAAATAAATAAATAAAAACTAATAATACAATTACTAAAACTTATCCATTTGAGGGATAACCTTCAATATTTAGAGCTTAATGATGGCAGCTGCATAGAGAGGCCACGTGGTGTGGCTACATGTCACCCAAAACTTGATGAGCAAATAGTATAGCCTAGTATAAAAGGAGTGGTGCTATAAATAGAACAAGGAAAACAAATTACGAAAGGAAAAGAAAATATTTGAAGTTAAGAAGGTTTTTAATAGTGAAAAGAAAGTGTAAGTTATTAATTTTAAGGTAAGTTATATGATATTTTGAGTTATCATAACATATTTTGTATATATTGAGTCACTATAAAATATTTTATGAATATTTTGAGTTATTATAATTTATTTTATATAATTTATGTTTTGTAGTTATATTAATGTTTCAACTATGTGGATTACTTTCTTAACTATATTTGCTCAAATTGAAATTCATAGAAATATTTATTTAAATTTTAGAAATTATTTTATCATGATTTTATAAGTAATTATTTTCTATAAGTACTATCATAGGAATCCCCTGTCTTAGGAGACTTAAGTAAACCACTGGTTTCTGATTGGTTAGCTTGTGGCCCTCTGTTTGTCATGGATCCATTGACCTCTGTTCTGTGCAGAACAAAATATTGTGCGGAGCTAATTGCTATATTATTGTGGGAGCCATCTCTAGAATCCGTACGAGCCACCTCTTGAGTTCGTACCTCTGTATTGTCATGAATCCATTGACCTTCTGACTGTCACTGCAGTGACCTATGTTCTGTTCTGTTCTGTACCGTGGTTATGAGTATTTGCTTATATGATTTCCGTATTTTGCTTATGTGATTAAAATTAGTTATATATTTTAGTTACCAAACTAATCTCTATTTTTTAGCTAAATAATTGTTCATGGTAATTTTTATACCTTATATTCATTGTATAATATTTCTCACTCTGTCATATGCTTATAGCTGTTTACAAATTTTCAAGAAACAATGTAATTCAAAAATGGCTGTTGGAGAGTCTTAAACACGGGGCTACGGAATAGATACACATAGCACTTTTATCGCATTTATAATTCTATTCTTCATATGTAAATATCAACTCTTTTGGTCAATAAATTTTATTGTAA